TTTTTTTTTTTTTTTTTTTTGAGACAAGGGCTCTCTATGTACTTCGGGCTGGCCTGGAACTCACTATGTCGCCTAGGCTGGTCTTGAACTCCCAGCCATCCTCTCGCCTCCGCCTGGGAAGGCTGGGATTACAGGCGTGCGACACCACGCCTGGTTCCTTACAGTTTTTGAAAGTTACAAACCTAAGCCGTAAATCAACCTGTATCAGTCCGACCCACTGCTGCACTGTTACTCTCCCAGAGTTTCAAGGGCCTGGCCCTAGCTCGGGAGAGGGTTTTACTGACAGCGTGGCAAGTGAGAGAGAGAGATCACTAGCAAGAAGGGAAAGCTCGAGAGCCAGAGGAGCCGGGGTTGTACATAAAACAACGTGCTCTGGAGCACTGACCGGGAATTCCTTTAATCCTGTCCAATGCTCGTGGCCCTGTGGACCCAATCACCTCCTCTACGCGCCGCTCTTAAAGGACCTACCCACCCTTCCCGTCGCCACCCTGAGACCTGGCTTCCAATGCTCACCCTTCAGGGACACACGCGCGCGCCGTCAGAAACCACAGCACAACCTTATGGGTCTCATGAAATAATCAGGGTTTTCACTGAGCATCTTAACACTAAACCCAGGAAGCTAACATTTATAACCTCAAAATACTCGCCGAGTTTGTGTATCTTATTTATTTTTTAGCTGTCCAGGTTTATCCAACTACCCCACAAATAAACACAAATGACCCATGTGAGTACTGCACACTTTGGAGAGAAGGTACTTGTTGTCCTTTGTAGATTCAACTGTTAAGTCTGAAAATGTTGCCTTTTTCTCTTTATTTTTTTCCATTTTTCTTCTTTTTATTATGAAATGACCTGTATTATAAAACCAATCCCTCCAACAACAGAATTATCTTAGCAAAAAATTGTCCCTCAGTTATTCCTTTCCTTTTCCATATTAGTCCAACTTAGAAAACTTAGAGTATTGGTTTGCAAACATGCAAAGTAGATAAAAACTTACACAATTTCATGACCCTTTTCTTCCTTTTTTATTTTTTTCTTTTAATCCATAAAAATATGGAACGCTTCAAGAATTTGCGTGTCATCCTTGTACAGGGGCCATGCTAATCTTCTCTGTATTGTTCCAATCTTAGTATATGTGGGGCCGAAGCAAGCATACCTTTTTCTCCTTTAGAAAATCTCTAAGGTTTTCCCTCTAATTTTGCTAGACAGGGCTCCATCAGAATAGAAGAACCCTTTGTGTGAAAATTACAAGTGTGAAAACTGTATGCTGTTGTATTATGCAAGTTTTTGCGAGTTGCATTGACTAGAGACAGTTCATTTACCAAACGGCACTAAGGAAAATCCCAAGCCAAGTGAAAATAGTTAGTCCACATTTTCTCATCAAAGAGAATTATACATCAATGGTTACAGGCTAATTTTTAAGAGATGATTGACATTGATATTGCATGTTCTATACATGTCAAATACTATATAGTGCCACAGTTCACAAGTTCATGCATTATTGCCTCTAAAAATATCATGTACGAGGTAAATCTCCCCAAGAACTTGTGCCAGCATTTCGGTTGGAGGCAATGTTCTGTACCAAAACAGTCCAGTTTCTCTGCTATGTTAAGCTAAGGAAATGTCATCTATTACTGAAAAACATCTTAGTCCATTGGTGATTGCAAGCGTCAGTTTGTGGGATTTAAAATGGTTCCTTTTCAAAACTGCACTCAGAATAGATAACTTCTGTACAAAGAAAAATATAAGAATTCTGGGTGACCATGTTCTAGAATACTACATAATGTATGATGAGGTGTTACTAGCTGAAAGTTTTCTGCTTTACTCAGCACTGACGTGAAGTGATGTTTATGTTTATGCCAGCTGAGATTGTGGCGTGCGATTTCATTTTCAAAATGACACTAAATTTCCTTAAGTGAAAGCACTATGTTTAGCAGCAGTTTAGTGAAATTTTTTTAACTATGCTTTTTCTACTGTATACTCAGCAATTAGAATACTTAGAAAAAGCTAATGTTTGCCTAAAAAGTGATCTTTCACTTTCCTTTAAACTCACATCTTAGTCAAAGGTGTTATCGTCTCCCCTTCCTTTGTGCGTGTGTGTGCGCAAGCGCGCGCGCATGTGGCGTGTGTGTGTGTGTGTGTGTGTGTGTGTGTGTGTGTGTGGTAGTAGGCATTGAACCCGGGGCCTTCACACTGAGCTGCAACCTCAACCTATTTTTATTTTTTCTTTTGAGTCAAGGTCTCCTTAAATTGCTAAATTGCCCAGGCTGGGCTAGACTTGTAATCCTCCTGCTTCAGCCTCCTAGAGTGCTGGGATTATAGCCCTGCACCAGCATGCTTACCTCCCCTATTTCTGATTTTATGGGTTAACTGAGGGGTTTCAGACAAGGCACTTAATGTATTTTAGGGGAGATGCCTGCTTTTAAGTAAGTGGAAAGACAAGTAATTCTTAATTCAGGTGTATCCCAGTGCCCTAAGAGTTGGTTGTATAACTAACAAGTAGTACCTATTGACAGCCTAGAAAAGATGAGATTTTTGTTGGCACCCCTAACAATCCTAAACCTGTAACAGCTGAACAGCATAAAGACCTTTGGACTCAGCTGTTGTGTGGTCCTCACAGATGGGCACACAAAGTGTGACTCTGAGATCCTGTGGTTATTGGTAAACACAGAAGAGGTGTTTCACTGAAGAGACGTCACTAAATTTTTAAGGAGCTGAAAATTTGTTTTAAGAGCAATTACATTGAAGGAAATATGATTGTAAGGAGTTCTGTGTAGAGAGAGATTATAGAAAAGAGAATTGTCAATGGAGCATGAGAAATTCCATGAACACAATTTTCATGATTAAAATCCTCACGTTTTGCTAACACCATGTCCCTTAAAAAATCAACTCTTCAACCTTATCTTATACTCACACCGACACGTCTGGGTCCCTTCACCCTTGTCACACTGGGTATAGAAACATTTTGCTTATTGAAGAGATCAAAAATGACACACAAGCATTGAGTTTGGATTCCTCAGGGCCATCAGAGGTTCGGAGGGCTCCCAGAGATTTTTGAGACAGAGAGTAGACGACTAGGAAACCCCAGTTATCTTATTGGGTGGGTGGTGACACAGTATCCATTGTGAAATTCAAAGAAAGAAATTGACAGATTCCCAAAATAGCAATAGAAGGTCTGTCAAAATAGTTATAAGACAAAGCCAGGTGTGGTGGAGCATACCTGTAATCCCAGCACTTGGAAGGATGAGGCAAGAGGATCAGCAAGAGTTTGAGCTCAGCCTAGACTCCGTATTGAGAATATCCTGTCTCAGAAAAAAGCAAAACAGCAACAACAAACCAGGAACAGGAGGGGCAAGAGGATAAGAAGAAGTTATGGGACTATATGGCAATAGCCTTGTCACAGCGCTGAGTCAGAGATTCCCAAAGCTGAAATAGGGAATGTAACCCCAGCAGGTTCAACGGCTTCCATCGTGGAAAAAAAATTTTTTTTCAGGACAGATCAGCAAGAGGCATGAGAAGGGTTTTTTAGACAAAGATTTAGGAAGTACTCAAGAGCAGGGTGCAGGTACTCAGAGAAATGAGTCACGTTGCATTTTGAAACTGAGAACATTCATACTTTTCTTGAGGCAGTGGAAAACCTGAGGAAAAAGTGACCACCACCCTATCATCACCACTCCCCGCCCTTACTCCTCCTCCCACCCAGCAAAAAAGGTTCTTAGCCCATTCCACAGGCAGGGGCAGGCTGGTTTTTTTGATAGGTGATTTAAATATTCATTAGATATTAGATTTTCTCACCCTGCTCCTTTCTTAA